TCTACTACCTAGTTTATTCAGTCTAGTACAAAAGATCAAACTAGACAAAGTACCATGACCAATTATTAATAGTTAAGCATAAAATATCTGAGTAGTACGAGGTGGGCGAAAGGCCAACTGGCCCGCAATCCTAAATCTGAAACAACTCCAGCGTTGATCTAATTACTTGACAATAACACATAAAACATTTTTGTTTCGTGTAAATAATCGGGCGGTTGTTGAATATTGGTATTGGCAACGCCGCAGGGTATGTAAACGTCGGTAAAATATACAAAACTAGTATATGATGGCATGGGAAGGCGGCAAATTGAAATGGCTTGTGATCGTTTATTGAACAGAATGTATAATTTAATTTTGTTTTTTTCTTACCCCTCTCAATGTGGATTAATTCATTGACATAAAATATGTCAAAAGTGACATCATTTGTTTTTATATTCTTAATATTTCTGGTAGGTCTGAGGTCGTCTTATAATTGACATGGCTTGGGAACGACGCATAATACAGTATATATATATATGAATAAATACTTAAAAGAGTACATATATATATATATATATATATATATATATATATATATATATATATATATATATATATATATATATATATATATATATATATATATATATATATATATATATTGTAATGTTATAATGTTTTAATAACACTACATTTTAAAAAAATTTACTTTATTATTATTTACCTTGGCTAGCCCGTATATTATGTCACTAGAGCGGATTGTCTTGCTCTCAGGGGTGGTTCATGTAAGTCAACCAATAATTTAAAAATAAATTTAGAAATATTTAATTTTGCCAACTCACTATTAAAAAGAAAAATAGGACCTTCCTGTATAATTAAGTAAACAAATTGACAATTTTTTTTTTTAAATCAAATCTTTCAAATATATTTTTATTTGTCAAACACAATGTAACATTAGAAACAGTTTCAAAATTGCTTACCTATATCTACTAATTTATAATAACTACTATCCTTTCATACCTCACATTCACACCTTATGAGAAAAAAAATAATCTAAAAATTAAATACAGAAAAAATACCGTACTAGTATTTACAGTGCTATACTTTTCAAATTTAAATTAAATTAATCTATACAAATTTCGAAATTATTTTACTACTTTGTTCTGTAACAGTTTAAGCAGTTGTTCCGTTTTCACAAATATTAAAAAGTACTCACAGTCGGAAAACTTCAGTCCAATGAGTATGCTAATATTTGCATACTGAAAATCGATGCTCTGCTACTGCTGCCACAAGGTACTGAACCACATTTCTGTTTAGCTCCGCACAAATTTATAAAATGAGACCTATACTCATGATTGGTACTACCATATACAAAATCCTATGAAATTTGCTTACTTAATATAATATTTTAGAGAATAAATTAAATCTGACTGACAAGGTTTCTCAAATTTGTATCTGACACCAAATCGAAAATTTCTAATTAATTTGTCATTCATCTTTGACATTTCTTTTTAACTAAAACTTGTTATATAGGGTGTTATTTTACTATTTACTCATATCTGTGGCAAATTAACAGATTTTTCACATATTAATATTATTATTATTATTATGATTATTATTATTATAAAATAAAGCTTTTTATGCAGAGTGTTTTATAACAATTTCCCAAAATTTTGTGTTAATTAAAATTTGTTCTAGAAAAATTTTATCAACACACAATTTTTATGATAAATCTATTGTTTGCAAGTCCCTAGAATATTATTTACATAATATGTACAATTCTGTAAAATTACTGTTTACAAATAATTCATTGGTTAATAATATTATTATTTATTTAGGCAATATTTCATAATTATTGATTTTTTTTTTTTTTTAGTCTATTCCTCATATCTGTATATCTGATTGATATGAAACACCCCACGGATTTTTCCGCTATTGACTTCTTTGAGTAAATAACTATTAACAGGCATTTTATTTACAATCATATGGTTCAGAATTTGGCAATTTGTAGTTTATTTTTATAATTCGCAACTCATCTCTTTATTTATTAAATTTTCATATTTCATAATTAATCATTTTAACTTCTTCATGATACTCTTCTTCAAATCTCTTTTTACTGTTATATTTTTAATTTGTCTTTACTTTACTTGTTTTTCTCTATTATAAATTGTTTTGCTAATTATTTCGTCCATCTTTTGTGTATTTATTCTTCCTCACTTTTCCATATTTCTATTCATAATCCATTCTATTCCTTAAGTTATTACTTTCACTCCATTTTCACATATTATTCATCACATTTCTCTTCATAATTATTTATTCATTTCATTATATTATTTCGCATTCATTCCATAAATCATCATTATCACTCATATTTTATTTCATTATTTCATATTTTTCACAATACACATATTTCATTTATTCTCCTAAAAACTTAACACATTTCCTTCCTAATCTTTAATTTAATTTTTAACTACTCTTGCAATTCCTTTCTAAAATATTCGATTTTCAAACATCAATTCTTTCTTCTTCTAATATTCTACATCTTAATTTGCTTATTTATTTATTTATAATCTCTTCATCATATTTATAATTTTTAGTTTCTTTTCCTGTTTCTTCATTTTCTTTTCTATACCAAGGTATTTTATAAATTTTTATTAATTTGTTCATATTTTAATTTTTATTTATTCCTTTTTTTATAATTATTATTATGTTAGATTATTTTAGTCAATTAAATTATTTAAATTTGTCTATTTTGTTTCCTACATATTATTCCACCATTTATTTCACTTTTATATAATTTATCTATCCTATACTGTAAATTGTATATTATTCCATTTTTACGAATTCATTTTCCATAGCCTTGTGTTATTATCTTCAATTTTAAAATTTCTATTCCCCTTTTTATTTTGTTTTATATTTTTTTTCTTTGACTTTGATTCTAACTCTTTCTTGTTCAGTTAATCTCCTATTTTTGTATATTTTTCCCCATTTTTCTCCAATTATGTTCTTTCTTGCTGTTTTCTTCTTATATTCCTTTTTTATATGATTTATTCTTGGTATTTTAATTTTGTCTTTTGAATGCATTTTATTATCACCATTAAATCTCATCATGTTATCAATTCCACCAGTCTTCGTCATTATAATTTGATTTCGTCTTATATTACTTTCTATTTCTTTTCTATATTCCTCTTTATCTTGAACTAATTTCTTTTCAATTTCTCTTATTTTCCACTTTGTATCATTTGTCTCTGCTGTAATTATTTCTTCGTGTAATTTAAAACCTTCTTTAATATGTTCTTCTAACTTTTTAATTTCTTTCTCGTTCACTTGAATATCCTTTTTCATTTCTTTAAAATTTTGTTCTGCCTGTTTTCTTGTCTTCAAATTCTCTTCTTCTGCTATTTTCCAATTGTCTTGAACCATTTGTTCCATACGTTTTTCTATTGAATTGATATTTTTACTGTTATTTATTACATTTTTGTCAACTCTTCTAATTTCCTTCTCTGTCTGTTCAATTTTTGTATTTTGTATTGTCACTTTCTGTTCTATATTTTGTTGTTTCCTTTCCATCTCTTCAAACTTCTTTTCCATTCGTTCTATTCCGTCTTTAAATTCCTTTTTAATTTCTTTCCCAATATCTTGTATTTTTTTCATATCTTGTTTTCTTTCTTCTTGCATTTTTTTTATTTCTTGTTTTCTTTCTTCTTCCATTTTTTTTATATCTTGTATTCTTTCTTCTTCCATTTTTCTTAACATTTTAATTATTTCATTGTTATCTTCTTTCTCTTTTCTCTCTTGCACTTCTTTTTTTTTGTCTGGTATATCTGATGTATCTTGAAATTCATTATTTTTTAATTGTTTCTCAATTTCTGTCACTTCCTCTTCCTCTGACATATCTGTTTTCCCATCATGTTTCACTTGTTCAGTAAATAAATACTTTTCAGGATCTTGCCCTTCTTCAATTAATAGATCATACAGTTTTTCCATTAATTCTTTCTTCAGTCCTATTGCTTCCTGGCCTCTTTTTTCTAATTGCACCTTTAATTCGATTACTCTTAATTCGCTTAATTTCTTACCCTTTTCTTCTTCCATTTTTCTATTTACTTTAACACTAAATACTAATTAAAATCACTTCTTTGGAAAAACACAATCACAACCTAGCTATCAAACACTTTATACTTTGTATAAATTGAAACACAACTTTACTTTAATATTTACAGGACACTTTTTTTTTTATTTATCTGTACGCCACTGTTTAATTTTAGCGCCCTACGTTGCTAGGTGCCAAATTGTAATGTTATAATTTGTTTTAATAACACTACATTTTAAAAAAATTTACTTTATTATTATTTACCTTGGCTAGCCCGTATATTATGTCACTAGAGCGGATTGTCTTGCTCTCAGGGGTGGTTCATGTAAGTCAACCAATAATTTAAAAATAAATTTAGAAATATTTAATTTTGCCAACTCACTATTAAAAAGAAAAATAGGACCTTCCTGTATAATTAAGTAAACAAATTGACAATTTTTTTTTTTAAATCAAATCTTTCAAATATATTTTTATTTGTCAAACACAATGTAACATTAGAAACAGTTTCAAAATTGCTTACCTATATCTACTAATTTATAATAACTACTATCCTTTCATACCTCACATTCACACCTTATGAGAAAAAAAATAATCTAAAAATTAAATACAGAAAAAATACCGTACTAGTATTTACAGTGCTATACTTTTCAAATTTAAATTAAATTAATCTATACAAATTTCGAAATTATTTTACTACTTTGTTCTGTAACAGTTTAAGCAGTTGTTCCGTTTTCACAAATATTAAAAAGTACTCACAGTCGGAAAACTTCAGTCCAATGAGTATGCTAATATTTGCATACTGAAAATCGATGCTCTGCTACTGCTGCCACAAGGTACTGAACCACATTTCTGTTTAGCTCCGCACAAATTTATAAAATGAGACCTATACTCATGATTGGTACTACCATATACAAAATCCTATGAAATTTGCTTACTTAATATAATATTTTAGAGAATAAATTAAATCTGACTGACAAGGTTTCTCAAATTTGTATCTGACACCAAATCGAAAATTTCTAATTAATTTGTCATTCATCTTTGACATTTCTTTTTAACTAAAACTTGTTATATAGGGTGTTATTTTACTATTTACTCATATCTGTGGCAAATTAACAGATTTTTCACATATTAATATTATTATTATTATTATGATTATTATTATTATAAAATAAAGCTTTTTATGCAGAGTGTTTTATAACAATATATATATATTATATATATATATATATATAAGAGAGTTGATAGTCGTTGCTGACTAGTTAATAATTAAACCAGTAATTTGTGGGTAATGCAGCAAATGAAAGATTACTTTTTTAAGTTTATTCCAAGCTTTCGGAAATGTTTATTTCCATAATCAGGGAGACTAAAATAAAATAATACCACATATTATGATAACGTAAGGTAAAAATTTTTTTACTTACATCTTAATTAAGGTTGTTCATTTAACAATTTAAGTGAAATTTATTCTTATTTATTAGATTTGGACAATAAACCAAACCAAATTCATAATTTAAATAATACAGAGCTAATTTAATATAAAAATCACTCTTTGAACATTTAAAAAAAATATTAATGTTATGTAAACATAGCATTATCCACATTTATTTCCTAACCTCTAATAACTTGTTATTTATTTAAAATTTTACTTGTCTTGTCAAATTGTCAAATTGACCTTTCGATATTTATATTTTTTTAGTTTTAAAGTATCGTAGTTATTATTTTTGTGTATATTATTTTGTAATTGACTTCAGCTTGTCCATTTTGTATCTCTACACTAAACTGAATAATACCACCAAAATGAACAACCTTAATTAAGATGTAAGTAAAAAAATTTTTAACTTACGTTATCATAATATGTGGTATTATTTTATTTTAGTCTCCCTGATGATGGAAATAAACATTTCCGAAAGCTTGGAATAAACTTAAAAAAGTAATCTTTCATTTGCTGCATTACCCACAAATTACTGGTTTAATTATATATATATATATATATTTACTTTAGCGCTTACACATTCCCATTTTGCTACATACTACCGACGTTCTCATTCCAAAACCTACGTTGTCAGTCCCACTTTCGGGCATGATAACGTTTTCCATGCTAGATGGGCTAGAAAGGGTCTATAGATCACAGGGATGAAATATTAGCTGGGCCTGAAAAGTCGCAAAAATGGTCATTTTTATACGGATTTAGTTCCGGGACCAAATGGCTAGGTGGCGCTCGAGTTAGAAGTGTATATCGTATATATTTCGTTCCATTTTTACAACGTTTACAGGCCCGAAACTTGGCAACAGCGCGGTGGTTTTATAGAAACAGTTATTATGAAACAAGGCAAATATAAGAAATAAGCCGTGATGGGAAGGTTTAAATTCAATACGTATTTTCGTAATAATGTGTAGTGTTGGTAGCGAAGATCTTAGCGGTATAAGTTTGGTATTTTTTGGACTCAGGTGTTTTATTTGTTCGAATTCTGCCATGGCCAGAGTTTTTCTAATTATTATTCGTGTGATGTTTGGTGTTACAATATCAGTATAGTATTTCGTTTAAAAATAATTAATTGGATTATTTTAAAGAAAAACACTTTGTTTAAGTTACCTATTCATGATATTTTAAAAAATACATATACATATGCAAGTAAGAATTATTTTGTTAAATAACTCAAAAACATGGAATTTAGAAAGTATCGCTCAATCAGTGGCGTACAAAATTGACGTTTGACTTTTTCCGGTTTTATGAATTTATGAGAGCTAATAAATATACAGTATGTCTGAAAAAGTTGGCAACACATGAGAAACATTTTTTTTTGTAATGTTACGAAAAAAAGTTATTTTTTATAAAAAGTTCTGCATGGCCCGTAAAGTAAAACGCAAACGTCAAATGTCAATTTTTTAAACCGTATACGAGGTTTGTCAAAAAATATGAATTTGAACAAGAGTAAAGTACCTTTATTTTTTACAATATCGAAAACTTTAATTATGTATTATTTATTTCTCGAAAGCTTTTACTAGGCTGACTTTCGGTAAGAGAAATGTGTATTACATTAGAAAATACATTCATTGTTGGGTATTACTTATTTATCACTGATTTAAGTTAATTGCTAAAATATTGCAAATCAACAAATAAACATTTAAGATGTGTTAAATTGTTAAATAAGATAAAAGTTGACGTGTTTTACAACTAAAATTTGGAAAATTTAAGTTGAAATTGAAGTTGTCAAAACATTCCTATTAATCTTTTGCAATGTCAAATGTAAATACCTGAATATTATTATTTTCGCAAGCAAAGATTTTCATAAAGAATAACTTTTTTTCGTAAAACTTACAATTAAAAAGTTTCCCATATGTTGCCAACTTTTTCAGACATACTTTATAGTGTGTCTACCTAAGTTGAAATCATATGGAAAACTTTTTTTATTAATAATTTTAGGAAAAAAGTTAATTTTCGTAAAACGTTGTGCATGATCAAACCTTAAATACAAACATCTAATACTAAATTTTATCCGTCGTATACGAGGTGTGTTTAAAATAAAGGTACTTTATTCTCAAGCAAATTTTCTATTTTTTAACGAAACCCGTATACGACTAAAAAATGTGATATCTGATGATTTAATTTTACGTTTTAGGTAATACAAAACTTTTTATTGGAAATAATTTTGATCCTAACATTTTTTATAAACTCATCCGCTTATATTACATGTCGTATATACTATATCGTACATGTAGATATCTTTTTTCCTAAAGAAGGGGAAATGATGCACAATGTAGAAATAAAATGTACCTACAGAAAGTTAAAAAACTTGTATCTAACAAAGCAATGCTAACTGGCATTACACTTACTAAATACGGCATGGAACAGCCAAATGGAATAATTCCAATAGCTCCATTATTATGCGTTTTTCTGAAAAAATCTTAAGACGTGTCAATTTCTAATTCTAAAATGACATGTTGCGACGTAAAAATGGCATCCCTAAATTTAATCCTCTTCAGATGACATCTTTAACCTCCTGTATTCTCAAATTGGAAGTAGGGGCCTGTGATACTTCATTTGAAAGGTCATTTCATTAACTCTTTAAAGCTGCTATGGTTTTAAATTTTATTGATGAAAATAACATCAAAAAAAGATAAGTATTTACGTCTGGGATGCTGCCAAGATGATGGAGACATGCATTTTAAACATCTGCTGGATGGATATTTACTTTTTTTTATATTACTACGTTATCATTACATCATGGTATTATTTATCCACACCTCCAAAATCTTGATAGCATCCTAGACGTAAATACTTATCTTTTTTTCTGTTAATTTCTGCAATAAAATTTAATACCGCAGCAGTTTTAAAGGGATAATGAAAATGCCCCTTTCAAATGAAGTATCATAAGGCCTTACTTCCAATTTAAAGATGTATACAGGTGTCACCTTAGAATTAAAAATTGACGTGTTTCATGATCTACAAAAAAAAAAACTAAAACCGTCCATTGTTACCTTGTTGGGGCACTAGTTACCGCTTGCAGGAGATAAAAAGCTTGGAAAAAAAACCTTGTATTTTTGTCTATTGACCACTTAGGATATTTAGTAATAGGCCTTCGCTCTTTGCCTAATACTCCAACACCTCTGGACTAAGATACTTTATAATAATGTACAGTTGATGTATGTTTTAGTAAAATTGATGAAATTAAAGCTATATTCTGTTGAGTTTAAAATTTTTATTGCTTTAAAAAAACACATAATAAACTAAAAAAAAATAACGTATTTTCTATCATATTTCTCGAACTTATTTACTCTAACAAAAATCTTTATAAAACAAGTTTAAAAAAAACATTTTACTTATTTATTACGGTATGTATTATACACTAGGGTTTTATAATTCGTACCCAATCCCAATCTTTAAAAGCTGAATAAACGTTCATTCTTCCTTGCTTCGTCTTATTTTAGGGATGGTATTGACTTGCTCTTTATATTCTATGAATTAACATATCCAGAAAGATAAGACTAAGTCTTATCTGAGAAAAAACTGTGTGAAGTATATTGAATGAGTCTTGGTGATAATTCACTGGAAAAAGCTCACGAAAACATTGCAGCTTGTATGCATGACAGTGTTTCTGCGTGAGTATTTGCTTTAATAAGACAAATTTGTTTGTTGGGGGACTACTGAAATCGATATTTCTGAATTTTCATCGGTAACATCCGAATAGTTTTAATATTTTTAGCTGTGCATTTAAAAGGTTTTTTGACCTACCAATCTCTCTATATAACTGCACATAATTTGTCAAAGGATTGTAAAACCAATTGTAGCCAAATACTAACTAACTTTTAATTAAACAACAACGTATTATCGATGGCCATCGAATGTTTGGTAACCTAAAGACAATTATGTTAGTTTTCATTCGTTGGCGCGGTCTGTACGCAGCTTAACACAAACGTTCAGTTTAATTTCAAGGTAAATATAAAATTAAGTGAAAGTGGCTAAAGTATCAAATAAACATTCAAATTTTGGAGCCAACAGGGAAGCATGGAATGGAGGCGTTTATATTTACGCGGAAATCACCTGCAATGCATATGGCTCCAAAACCAATAAAAAAAAAATTATCTCACTGAAACTAGGTAAACATGCGAAAATATTTCAGGTAATAATAGCAACAATACACACTGTACAAAAGAGGTATTAAGTATTTTCAAATACTATGAAGCACTGTTTGGTAGCCCTAAAACAGACTAACCTTACCCTAGGTGCCAGGCCACAGAGGGCACAAGGTCGAGAAGTAGCCTAAAAGTTGCTTCTGGGCTCAGCACTAATTTGTGGTGTTACAAAAACCCCATCAGATCATGCGCAAAGCAGCGGGTGTTCAATGAATCTCAGGAACGCCAAGTTAGAGGCAGGTCAGAAAATAAAAGGGCCATCGTCAAAACTGAGTAAGAATAGGAGAAGTACTAAAATACTTGTCCTATTAATATGGCATTGTAAGTTTTAAAAGACATAATATGTACAACTTCGCACTGGCAAAAGACACCTTTTTTCGATTATGTCACGAAGAGGAGGCAATTGCAGTA